CACGCAGTCTTGCGATCAGACGTGCTTCGCCGCCAGGGCTGGTTCCCAAATTTGGCCTTATCTGCGCAGCAGCCACGGCGCCAGCGAGGCCGTGAACGTACGAATGGCACCAGACACAGCTAGACCATAGAGAGACGCCTCAGGTCCAGTATCCCATAGCAGAAGGGTTCACAAACACTTCCCTCGCCCTCCAGTGCGACATCCTCAGCAGGTTCCTGGAAGGTTAGTGTGTCGGGGCCCCAGCTGGGCTCGAGAACGCCTACAGCCGGGGGGGCGGTTTCGAGGTCACCTGGAAGGGCAGCCAGCCACCCGCGCCCTTCCATCGCAGGCTCCACCAAGACAGCCGCCAGTGGGGGGTCATCCAGCAGCGTGTCCAGGAGAGGAACCACCAACTTGTAGACCGTCCAGGCTCGGCAGGGCCCCAGAGGCCCCTAGAGGGCCCCTATGCAGTCATCCAGGGTGCTCCAGCTTGGCCGCCAGGATGCCCGAGTACAAGGCGCCTGCCACTTCCTGCATCCGAGGCGCGGTGGAACCGCCTCAGCGAGACGACGCGCATCTCCCGCTCGAGCTAGCAGTCCAGCCTTTAGACAAGTCGGCCTTGCCGCAGCAGCAGGTTGCTTTCAAGGTCTGGTTGCACGAATCCCTTACTCATGGGGGCGGCGGCGCCCATCATATTGCAGAGGTCCCTGGGCCCGTTCCTGCAGGTGGCAACGGTTTGTGCTCGGTCGAGCGTGGATCATCGCAGATCCCTCCAAGGTCCTGGATCGCAGAAGCGAGCACTTGCTGAAGTGATGAGACCCAGGTAAGGCCCCCCCCCGACAAGTCCCACGATACACCCTGGCTCCACGGTCTACGCCAGGAAGCTAGTGACGCTTGGGGCCCCTCCGAGAACTGGAACACCGCCCAAGTCCAGAAGGCCATCGGGAGTTTCTCCAGAGCGTTTCCCCAGGCGCTGACCAGTTGAGAGAAAGTTATTCTGCGCGCCTCCCAGCTGAAGGATTGGAGGCCCTAACGGGCATCATCGATGATGCGTGCAGGCTGCAGCAGTGCCCAGCCCTGCGCATGATCAGCCCCGTTGCCTTCAAGCCAAAGACAGAGGTCAGCGATCGCCCCATCGCCCTCGACAGTGCCCCCCCCCCCCACCCACCCACCACGCAGAATCATCCTGCGTCTCTTCGAGGGTCGGATCTCTCAATGGGAAAACGCGCGGGCAGGTTTTCGGGGCGCGGCTAGGCGAGGCAGTGACTTTCTCAGAACTGCGCTGGCCAGCGAACTCTTCGCCGAGATCAGCGCCTCTCTCACCTGCTCCACCGTGCAAGGGGCCCTCGGCCTCGAAGTTTTTCGGCGCGACTCGCCGGGTCAAGCTGGCGGAGAAGGCCTCTGCGCTCGGGTGCCCCGTGGCCCCGCTCGCGCAAGGCGCGGCGATCCGCGTGCGCGCCCGAGTGCTCGCGACGCCCATGGGGGGCAGCGAGCCTTTGATTCCGATAGCATCGGCCCACCAGGGACGCGGTCAAGGAGTCTCCTGGGCCAGGGCCCTCCTCGCCGAGGTTCTAGAGCTCGCCCGCTGCTGGGCTCCTCGGCCGACCGTCTGCGCGCGCGTCGACGACGTCAGGGTCCGTCTCGTGGGCGGCCCAGAAGCATTCAAGATAGGCTTCCCTGAGCTCATCATCAAGCTATGTGGTGGACGTGCTGATCTAGGATGCCGTCGTTTTGAAAAGTCTGTCTTAGCCATCTCCCAGGAGATCCGCGCCTCGGTCGCCGAAGCCGTCGGTGTGAACGGCGTCGCCGTTCGACCTTTTTCGGAAAGCTCGGGGCTCGGGATTTGACGCCTCCACCTGGAAGGCGAGGGCCCTGGGGGCCCGTCGGGCTCGTTGTTCGTTCGGGGCCCAGGGGCGCAGGAACGTCGAGGCGACGACCGAGGCGCGCGCACTTTCCCGCGTGGGCACGCCCCCGCAAATGAGGCGGGGCATGGAAGGCCGCGGCGCCGCCCCGAACGAGGTCGGATATTCTCGTCGACTTGCAGGGGCCGCGATCAGAGTTTCAAAGTCAGGGGAGGAGGGGCCACCGCCAGACATCGACCCGGGGATTTTCCCCAGCATCCACATTTTCACGATGCGGTTCAAAGTGATCAACTCAGGGACCAGCATCCTCGCGGGCATCCAGAAGTCCTGGGAGATCCTGATGGTTAAGCTCAAGAGGCCCTCTAGATGGCTCATGGCCAGGTCCCTCCTCTCGGCCGCCATCGCCGCGCCGTGCGACGTAGGCCGGGCCCCGCTGCCAGCTAGGCTTTGGGAAGGCCCTGGGGGCAACCGGTATCCTGTCAAGTCGCTTAGTGGGGGCCGGTGGCAGGTTCCCCACTGCCATCTGGGGTTCCCCCTCACCGTGCGCATTTTGGAATCGACTTCATCGATCAGCCACAGCCCGGGGGGCCTGGGGGAGGGGGCGGGCGCCCGCCCTCCGCGTCTCTCCCCGGCCAGGATGCGAGCCGCCACCAGGAAGCAGGAGCGGGAGCTAGAGCAGGGCCCCCCCCAGAGCCCAAGATATTCAGCGCGAGGAGGAACTCCAGAGACAGGCCGCCCTTCCAGCAGCACATGTCGCCGTCTCCTGTTCGAGGCGCTGGCGCGCTCGCCGCAGGTTTGCGAGCGGCCAGCAGGAGTCTGCAGATTGCCCGCCATGCGGGCAACCGCGAGCAGATGATCCCCACAAGTGTTGGACGTGTCGTGGAATTGCCCTTGAGAACACCCCCGAGGTCCAGCGTGCCCAAGGCCGCGGGTCGAGCAGTGGCTGAATCCCAACGGAATCCCGGTCTCTGGCTTCGTGGGATTATCCCAGAATAGCTGCTTCGCCAGTTTCACACCCGCGTCGCGCAGCTAAATCAGGACACCGTCCGAAGAGGTGTTTTCGAGCAGCACCCTATCTTTCAGTTTTCAGAGTGGCGGGGGGCAGCCGCAGACGGCAGCGGCGGGGCTCGCGCGCGGGGCCCGCGGATTCGAGTCTGCGGCTGGAGCATTTCTGTGTGGACATGTGATCTCGATTGGAAAGTCGCGGCCCATGGAGGCATCGCGGGCCCCCGCGCCGCCCCGCTCGCACAGCTCGAGGCGGTCATTGTTTTGCTCCAGTCCACTCGAGGCAGCCTTCTCATCGCCACAGATTGCCTACGTGATCACGGGCTACGAGAAAGAACCCACGGCCCTGGCAGGAATTCTGGTGCGTCGCAGGCAGTCGTGGACATCGGATCATGTTCTACAAGCTGAAGAGCCACCCGACCTCAGACCAGGCCGCCAGAGACCCCTAGTGGGCCCTCCATCTCAATGGTCACGCGGGTAAACTAACCTCAGACACAGCACATTGGCGTCGTGTTCCTGACTGGCTCGTCCGACAAACCGAAAGGGTGGATGTCCATGCTGATCTCGCTCGTGGCGGGCTAGCGGGAACGCAACAGTTCGATTCGGAGAACAAGGACAACCTAGGCTTTGATCAAGAGGAGGACGTGCGGGATTGCCGCAGGAAGGTGAAGGTAGACAGGAGCGTTGCAGCCTTGCAGGTAGAGCTCAGCAGGGTACCCATTGTCTCCCGCGCGCCCGTCTCCTCCCCTTCCAGCTACATGCCCCACGTCAAAGACTTGCGGCGGATCCTGCGGTGCCCCCGATGTGGAGTTTGGACAAGTCGTGCCGCCGAGAAGTTTGTTCTGCCGTGCGAGCTCCCCGCGGACGAGGCAAGCGGGCCCTGGCAAGGCTCACCCGAGGCAGACTTTCACTGGGGCTCCGACCCTGGCCAAATCCAGCTCCCTGAGGTAGCTCGACAAAGCAGCCCCCGCGCGGGGGGACTGAACTGCTGCGGGAGCGCGTGCGCGCGGAGGAGGAGGAATGGAAGCACCCGACCATTTGACAACGTCGGGCCTTTGTCAGCCTGCTGCGTGCTATTCGGCAAAACTGGAATACGGACTCTTGCAAGCAGAGGGAAGGAGGAGGTGGAACAAATGAGAAGGAGGAGGAGAAGTGAGTAGGGGCGAGAAGGGAGGATGAATGGGGGAAGAGGAAGAGGAGGAGGCGGAAGAGGAGGAGGAGGAGGAGGGGGAGGAGGAGGAGGAACAGTAAAAGCCCAAGAGCCACCAATGATGTTGGAATGAACCCTCCTTCCAAACTCCCTGTTCAGATGCCCCTGCAAAGGCGCATTTCTACTGAGGCAATTGCCTCGTTGGAAGCCAATCGTTTGAAGACCCGGATGCATGCCGAAACATCGATCCCGGGCTTCCAACGCCACGGGTCAACCTGACTGTTGCGTATGGACGGTCCTCAATCATGCCAAAAGGCAATTCCTGGGATTTTTCAACACCGCGAACCAACGTAACTGGTGCACTCCCATAATCCTGAATCCTTCCAACGCACTGTTTCTGGTACGCTGATCATGGGAATCCGTGAAACTCTGGTAACTATGAGAAAAACAACGGGTGCGCGCGGCGCTAACGGGGGAGCCACATGTTGAAAAGGAACAGCCCTCAATCCGTGAAGCTCTTGCAAATGTTTATAATGAATGTGCGCGGCAGTAAGGCGAGAACCACATGTTGAAAACGAACCGCCGTCAATCCGCGAAACCCTTGCGAATTTTTAGAACGAGCACGCGTGGCGCTTAGGGGACATCCACATGTTGAAAACGACCCGCTTTCCATGTGCAGAACTGTTGTCATGTTTTGAGTTCCAAGGCCATAGATGGTGAGGACATCTCAGGCGAAACGCCCAAACCGTCCTAAAACATCGCTTCGGGGTGCGACAGGGAGAAATTATTTATAATGAAAATCAATGGGGGAGGAGGATGAGGAGGAGGAGGAGGAGGAGGAGGAGGAGGAGGAGGAGGTGGAGGAGGAGGAGGAGGAACAGGAGGAGGAGGAGGAGAAAGAGGAGGAGGAGGAGGAGGAAGAGGAGGAGGAGGAGGAACAGGAGGAGGAGGAGCCGCCGCCTTTTTTCCTACGGGGGTGGGGGGCGGGTCGGTGGGTGGGCGAGGACTTTGACCCGCCGCCGTGCCCGCCTGGCCGCGGTGTCTTCGGCGCCTTCGCGGCAGAGGCCAACGGGGGAGCAGGACTGGAAGAGGATAAGGGAGGGGGAGGAGGTTGAGGCTTTATGTTGGTCAGGGCAAGTCTGTTCTGGCGCTGCGGAATGGAAGTATGGAGGATGACGCCGCCTAACATCACCAACATTCGTCGGAACAACGCGCCATCTCACAGGAGGATTCGTGGATTGCCTGCGGTGCAGAAGGAGCACGCCAGACTCATAAGGGAGCCCTTCGCTGCAATTCAGCAACCGTTTCCAAACTCACGCCATAGCCAATGGCATATTTTCATCGGCCCGTCCAAAATCACCGGCATACATACACATGCATACACATTTATCCCTCTCTGTCTCTGCCCCTTTTAGGTATCTAGGTGTGTGCGGCGACACCCTACTTGGCATTTTTCAAAGAAACCATACTATACATCAAAAAATAAAACAAAAACGAAACACACAGAGAAGCAGCGCGACACGAGCGGCGAGGCGACATGCTTGCCTCAAGCTATCTGTCGAGGCGACGGCTTGCAAGCTGCGCAAAGCAGATTGCGCATATTCACTTATGACAGCGCGCTCGCAGGAAGCAAGTATACGACAAAGACTATGGCGGCGATCTGATGCAATGGTGATGGTTCAGTCCAGGGAGCTCACCCGCGGCGCGAGCGCGAATCCGCTAGAGTCGTCGAGGTACTGGAATGCGAAACGACAGCGACGAAGAGACTTGGTGATAAGTGCCCACCCTCGGCAACATTGACCAGGAACAAGGAAAAGCTACGCCGCCACCGCCACCACCAGGGACCACCAGCGAAAGGAACCAGAGGGGGCTCCGATGTCGGCGCGCCCCCCTCTCCTTCGCTCGAGACACCCCCGATTCCCAGCTCGGGGACGCATCGTGGACCTCCTCGCTGGAGGTGGCACCCCTGGTGGTGGCGCCGCGCCCTTACGGTGAACTGCTGGGAACAAACTGTTGGAAAGAACGCATTCTGCCACCGCTGGCAGGGGGGCAGTTCGAACACCTCCCCTCCCCCCCTCCCAGAACAGGGGCGGAGACGGGGGGTCCTCCGGACCGCCCCCCGTCCCCTCTCCCCGGCACAATTATTCAGGGGATCAAGAACCCCCCCCCCCTGGCAAACCCTTGGCAACGGCGACGGCGACGTCGCCGCCGCCAGCAAACGGCGCGGACGGCGACGACGACGTCTGATGGAAGCCCATTTAGGCTCGATCCAGCCTTTCAATAAAATCCCGTTATGCTGAAATCCAGCTTAAATCATCTCGCTAGGGGGCGTCCCGGTTCCAAGAACATGCCACTGAGGCTGGACCTGGCCCTGGTCGAATCCTATTAGGGCTCGATCCAGCTAGCTTGAATAACATCCTTCCCGGGGTTGATCAAGCTCTCTCGGAAATCCTGCTACGATTCGACCCAGCTATCATGAAATCATATCAGGGCTTGATCCAGCTCTAACAGAGTCTTACTAGGGCTAGATACAGCCAGCTCGAATAACCTCCTACTATGGATGGGTCCAGCTCTAGTCTTAGCTGCCCCGATACGCAACACGCAACATGTAGCATTTTGGCACGGAGCCCAACACGTTGACTGAACAGAAAGGTCTGGCCCGACACGTTCGCTAAAACGTGGGCCAACACGTTGAGTCACCACGCACCGTGTTAAAATTGACGTGTTGAACATGGTACGTGTTGAGTTTCAACAAAGGCGTCTCAGAGCAGCTAAAGCTCGAGTATAATCACATCAAGGCTGAATCCATGTCCAGTGGAGGAATTTCACGAAAGCTCGACCCAGCATTAATACAGAACCATTGTGAAGTTGGACCCCATTTTCATAGAGCTTGCAATGGCTAGATCCGCCTGTATGTAATGACATCCTGTTCAGGCTAGGGCGGTGGGAGAGGAAGGAAGGGAGGGAGGCAGAGCGCGAGATTGAGGGATCGCGCCGTCGCCCGTCTCGGGCTCACCCCTGGTCCTCCGTGCAAAGTGCCGACCTCGCTTGTCCCCCGCCCCCCCTCCTCAGCCCGATCTCCCTGGCCCTCTTCCCCCCCCCCCCCCCCCTCCCCATGAAATCAAGCCTCCTCCTCCCCCCCCCCTTCCTTCTCCTCCTTCCCCTCCCCCCCGCCACCCAGGGCCTCTCCACCCTCACCCCCGCCGCCTCTCCCCTCCTCGCTCAAGCCACTTTGGCCCAAGCATTTTGTTTGGCCAAAGGCGTCCGCCTCTTACGTGATGCTTGAGAGGCACCAGCCATCGTCCAATCCTTCCTTGGGACGAGTGAGCTGGTTGGCCAAAGGACGCGTCAGTCGTCAGTCATGGCTAAGGGCAAGAAGGCCCTGCAGCAGGGCAGCGAGCAGCATAATGTTTCATCTGCTGCCGAGCCCTGATCCAAGTGCAAGTGCGGGAGGTTCGAGTGGAACCATATTCTCCTTAATAAGGGTTGCGTCTGTCAGCAGTGCAGGGCCAAGGTCACCCTGTGCGCGCCGAAGACCACGCCCCCGTCCAAGAGCCAGACCCCGCTCCGAGGTGCCACGAGCTCTACTCCCGATGCGGTCCAGACGCTGACGGCGGCGCTCAAGGTGGTCAAGGAGCCCTCGGTCAAGGTCTGGCTGGAGCAGCAGCTCGCGATGGCCCAGGCCGCCGCCGCCCCGGACGCTTCGGCCAAGTGGGAGCAGGCGAGGGCCCAGGTCGAGCGCCGCGCCACCAACCTCCAGCGCGCTCACGAGCGCGAGGAGGAGACGGCGCGGGCTCTGGCGCTGGCGGAGATTAACAGGCGCGCGGCGGCGGCGGCTTTGGCGAGGGACACGGGGATTGCCCCGGCGGGCAGCGCTCCCGAGGCCAAGCCAGCCCAGCCGACGGAGACGCCACTCATCGACCTGTCGTGGGACACTAGCTTCTTCGACAGTGTCGACGAGCTCGACTGCGGCCCCGAGGAGAAGGAGAGTCTGAAGAAGATCGAGCAGGAGCTGCGGGCTGCCAAGGAGAGCGTGCGGGCCAGGATGCTGGACTTGCAGAAGCAGGTCAACGAACGCCTCAAGAAGAAGAGGCGCGCCGACGGGGGCGCCGAGGGCGCGGGCGCGGCGGGCGAGGGCCAGGCAGCGGCTGCTGGCGGCCTTGCGGCGGCCGGGGCGGCGGCGGAGCCCGCGGCGGCGAGCCAGGCGGTACCGACGCCAGCGGCGCCCGCGGCGCCAGCGGCGCCGCCAGTGGCGCGTGCCCCAGGTGTGCCTTCGGAGGCGGAGATCAAGGCCCAGATGGGCAAGATCCGTAAGGCGGGGGAGGCTGGCACATCGGCGGCGCAGGTGGCGGCTCCGATGGCGGCCGACGCCGACGAGCTGTGTGCGGCGGGCGAGGGCCCAGCGGCACCCTCGCTCGCCCAGCCGTCAGCGCCGCCAGCCGTGCCAGCGGGCGAGGCACAGGCCTCCCCTGCCCACGCGGCCGCCTCCACAGAGGACGACAGTGACACTCAGGGCCAGGATTGCGAGTCCACTGTCTGCATGTTCTACAGCAATATCACTACTTTGGGCCCAAGGCATGGGGCTACCTCAGTTCAGCCTCGACCTTAGTATGAGTACATAGGTGTGGTGGAATCCCACATAGGTGCTCACTCGCGGGCCAAGTGGGCTCGGTGAGCACGAGCGCTCAAATTGAAACACCATGACAATCCAGCGAGAGCCACAGGAATATCGACCTCGGCGGCGACGGAAGGGCGCGCCTACGAGGGTGGGGAGATCATGCTGTCTCGCGGACATCGAATTTCTGACAAGCCCAGAGACGGAGCCAGCAGTTACTGCGCGGGTGGAGCCGACGCCTTCGACGGTGTCATGACGGCACTAGTGCACATGAGTGGCTTCTCTATGCTCGTCGTCCTTTTTTACGCCCACCCCAGCGTGGGATTTTCAGGGCAGAACGTTCAACGCTTTGCTAATCTAGGCGCATTTCTTGCCATCGTGAAGCTTCCATGGCCCGTGGTCGGAGAGTATTATCGACGCGGCAGTGTTTCAAACGTCAGCTTTCCGTCGGCGGGTCGGAGGAGTGATCCGCACATCAGATGTCGAGCACACCTGTGTTTCAGGTGCGGGGAGCTATCGTATCGATTTTGCCATGGCGTCAGCAAGTTGCATTCCGTACATTCGCAGCGTGCATGCAGTAGTTGACACCTTGGCCGCCACACATCGGTTCAGAGCTGCGATTGCGAGGAGCTGGGGACCAGCTCCTCATGATATCACTGGCCGTCGCATCCAGATTGTCGCAAGTTCCCCGCCCTGTCTCCGAAGCGACGGCAGGATCAAAAGCGAGTGCGAAGCGCCTCGAGCCTGCCGGCCGTCAGGAGAAGAAGAGGCAGCGAATTTCTCGCATGTGTGATGACTTGTGCGGTGATGTTTTTGTCAGCGCGTCCCTCCCCGAACCTGCCGACCCTGGGGCTCTCGGCCCATCCGCCCCTGTTTCGTCGCAGGTTGGTCTCGGGTTTCAGAGCGAAGTGGGCGCGGCTGGCCACTTCGAGGACGATGAGGCAGAAGACCTCTGGGCACACGAGCCATATTTTTCACCCCGCGTGAGCTGGTGTCAATCATAGCGCCCAGAATTCTAGGGGGTCTGTCGGTGAGAGCGAGGGCACAGGGGCCGACCCCCAAGCCGAGCGTCCACGGAGCGATGGAACCTTGGAGGGGGGAGCTAGTCTCGCCCCTGCTGGCGCTGCTGCGCCTCCTGCCTCTCTCCCGACTTTCTCCATTCCGAGCTCCCCGTTGGTAGCTGCTTTGGCTCGAACTTCTTGGGCCCCACGCTCTCATCGCGACGTTTGGTTCCCTACCAGCCAGTCGCTCGCCTACCAGGCGGGCGAGCAGCGTGCGCTTCCCAGCAGCGGGGCTTTCGCGAGACGGGTGCAGGCGGCAGAGATGGCGATAGCCATGCGCCGCCAGCTGGACCCTTCCGAGCGGCACCGTGCCATCGGGTGCGAGCTGCGCGTAGTCAAGGTAAGCAGGCCGAGCACATGCGTCAAGAGCCACTGCGAGATGGAGTTT